TGCTGGCATGGTGTGCCTAGATGTGGGAGTGGGGTCCGGTCCCTGGCTCCAAGCCTTTGGTTCCCAGGCAGGCCCCAAAGCGCTGGTGGTGTGCCTGAGTCGGAACTAATTTTTTGTCCTTGGCTTACTTCTAAAATAGGGGAACTTCCTGTGGGAACTAATACTTGAGCTGTGTGGTTGTTTAAATTGCTACTTTGCTGCTGTCTCCCTAGGGAAGGCTTTTTGTGCAGCTCAGGGTTTAATGGTTGACCTTATAGGTACTTCCAGCTCTCCAGAGACCCGGTGGATCTGGGTTGTGTAGAAACTCAGATCTGGGTCTGAGTTTTTTCATCAAACTGCACCCCTGCAATTCTGCATTCCCAACCAGTCTCCTCTGAGTGGTCCTTCTCTGATTTGGGGGCAGATCGACTGTCCTTGCTGTATCCCAGTGTCCTCCCAGTGGGCCCATCTGCCCCACCGTCCAAGCTCCAAACACTTCCCATGAGACGGGCCCTGTGCTGGTCCCTTATAATGACTCACTGATCTCTGGATGGCTCCATTTTTTCAGTTGTTCTGGCTCCTCACTCCTGCGTGGGTCCACGGGAACCCTATGAATGGTCTTGTTGTCCTGGGGGCCACCAAGGCCCTCTTCTCCCCTGCTGCCTCCTAGTAACTCCATTTGAAGGGCACAGCTGTGGCTTCTGCCGGCTCCTGCTCCATGTGCTCAGCAGTTGCAGCCTTAAAGCAGCCACGGCCTGAAATGCTCAGAGCAGCTTTTTCTTGCTCTCATCATGGCTTCTTCCCCTTCATGAATTCAGTAGGTCTCTCCTCCTTTTCCCCTGAGCTCCAGTGGCCCCAAATTGGCTGATGTTACATTTTTATAGTTTTAAATTGATTGATTTGTGGGAGAGAGTGACGCTACGCTGGGAACCATCTATTCCGCCATCTTGACTGGAACACAAAGCTATGTATTTCAAACTCTGCCCCTTTAGATCACACCTGCCCCCTGTAAATTGTGCTTACATTGAAGCCCCTTCACTCTAGTTTGTGCTCTGATCTGCTTAGACACGTTTTTTTAGACCATTCAGACTTGGGTGGACTTAGTCTTTTTGGCGGGAGTTTTATGCCCTTTTGCTGGCGTCCCTCTTCAGTTTCCCTGCAGTTTATCTCCATCTATTTGCCTTCACCCCACAAAGCCTTGCAGTGGGATGTGAGTGAGGCAGGCTTGTAAGAGTACATTCTGAGATTTGGAGATTTTTCTAATTTTATTCAGTTTGAGGTTTTGAAATCATGACTTCAAAGTACACAGAGTATGATTTCCATATAGATTTCCTTTTTCCTTCTTATGTTTTGCATTATTTTGCAATGAAATATTGGAAGACAGGTAGTTAGGCTGCCACCATTGTTTTCAGCTGCCTGTAAGTTTACCTTCATCCTTGAAATGTTTGCTCAGTCTAGAATTCTACATTGGAAGTTATTTAATGTTTTACCTAACACTTTCAATGTATAATTTCAATGTACTTTGGTTTCCATTGTTGGGAGTGAGTTTAATCTCTAACTGCTAATTATTTGAAGTTAATTTCTGCCTGCTTTTACTTTTTTTTTCCTCTTGGTCTTTGGTGCTCTGAAGTTTCACTGATATATTCAAATGTGGGTGTTTGCTTTTTCTTGCTTGGATTAATTGAGTTTTTAATTTATAAGTTGATATCTTCTATCAATTTGGAGAAATTTTCAGTCATTGTGTCTTAAGTTTTGCATGCTCCATTCTTTCTCTTCTTTCTTCTAGAACCATGATTATCAAACATGTATTAGTCTGATGTTTGATCCACATTTTACCCTCTCCATATTTTCTACCTTTTTGTCTCTGTGCTGCATAAGAGAGAATTTCTACAGATCTGTCTTCTAGTTCACTACTTCTTGGTGCTCAATCTTCCACTACAGCAGCTACTCACTTAATTTTAGTTTCTGTCCCTTTTTTTTCTTTTTTTGGTGGCCGGCCGGTATGGGGATCCAAACCCTTGACCTTGATGTTACAAGGTGGTGCTCTAACCAATTGACCTAACCAGCCAGGCTGTTTCTGTACTGTCATTCCAGATGTTCTGCTATTATTTTGTAATTCCTTGTAATAGTCTCAGGTTTATCTTTTATTTCTTTGAAAACAGTAAATATATTTGTTTTACAGTGTTTGATAATGTCACCATCTGAAAACTAAATATAACTTCTGTTCTCTTTTACTGGTGTTGAAAAATTGTGAGGTCTCCTCCAACTCTAGGAGATACCTTCCACTAGAGATTTGAGTTTAACTCAGTCACCTGGAAGCAGTTCCACATGGCTTGTCACCTAGATCACCCAAGCCATGTATAGCTGGCTAGGTTCTAGACATCCAATTTCCTATGCCCAGTCCTTTCAAATGCGTTCAGGTCCTGCTAAATAGGAAACTTTATACAATCCTTCCTCTTTTGCCTTCCCAGCACTCACATCCTCCAAATAAAAACCTAGCAGCCGACTCTGTATTATCTTTGCAACTTATCGAAAGCTATTCTAAAATTATTTTTTTAAAACCCAGGAGTCCTCCAATTTAGTCCTTACCATAACCTGCCCACTCCCCATCTATTCTTGTCCCTATCTTTAGGCCAATTCTTCTAGGCACCTCACATCCTTCAGATGCGAATTCGAAAGCCTGGTCTTGAAAAACTCTACTAAAAACCGTACGATACATAATGAGGAACAATAGTTATAAATATTGGAATAACTTCAAATACTTGAAATTAGTCATGATTCGAGTCTAGCAATCTATACCTTCCCTATAACACCTTCACTTTAGCTCAACCTCATTGACAATCACAGAATAGAATCCATGTTATAAGTTTCTATTTAATCTGCACTCTATTTCTACATGTCCCATCTTGAATTTCTCTATTTGCCACCTATAGCTTTATCACTGCCTCTTCATATTGCTTCTAATTGAATCAAAAAATTATTTTTACTGAATTTGAGGCATCTGTCTCAATATACTCCCACTTCCAACTACCATACCTTCAATCTAACCAAGTAAATCTTGTCGCCCTTTTGTTTTCAATCTTCTTCCAAGCTGGCCTCTAAACTTGCACGGCTTTCTACTCCATATAGGTCAACCTATCTTCACCTTGCTCACTTCATCTACATTTGTTCACACAGTAATACAGTATAGGATTCCATTTGACCTTAGCCTAAATGCCAAAGAAATTGTGTGTTTACTTTTAACATTCTATTGATTAATGTAGGTGAAATTGTGATAGTAACGTTAAAACTAGATTTTATTAGCTGATTTCATTGCTTTTAAATTGTGGGTTATAATTAAGGATGTATTTATCTGAGAATTGCAATAAATAGCATAGAATCAGGTTGGCATTCTAACCGCATGTGAAAATAAGAGATGAAGACCTACACAATGGCACTTATTTATAATTGAGTAGTATTTTAGCACTGGCTATCATGTTTACTTTGCTGGGAACAATCAGCTCCTAAAAACCTGAAAAATGGAACACAATCAGTAGATTACTGTTAATGAAACCACCCAAAAGATTTCTTGATTCAGGTTATGAGAAAACTTCTGAGAAAAATTCAGGAAAATATTTTAAATACTGAGAGAAGAACCATTATCACTGTTTAGACTTGTTCAGGTTTCCTGCAGCTTAAGTAAGACTGTTTTCACTGAAGAAGCACAAATACCATCTAATTTCATTTAAAAACAAATATGGGGCCGGCCCCGTGGCGCACTCGGGAGAGTGCGGGGCTGGGAGCGCAGCAACGCTCCCGCTGCGGGTTCGGATCCTATATAGGACTGGCCAGTGCGCTCACTGGCTGAGTGCAGTGTGGGCGACACCACACCAAGGGTTGTGATCCCCTTACCGGTCACGAAAAAGACAAAAAAAAAAAAAAACCAAAAAACAAAAAAACCAAATATGAAGTGTTTGGCACAATTAAAACTTTATGCCATGCTTTAGACAATCTATTGAACCACAGAATGGAAACTTCATAGTTTTTTTTAAGTTTTGTTTTTAGTATTCATGTTTAGTATTAGGGATTTCTTCTAAATTAAAAAGACCACCTGTAAACAGATCTTTTTTGCTCATATATTCAAGAAAGTAACTTTCTTTAAAAGAGATCAGAAAACAGTAAACGAAGGAAAACAATGCTGGTTACTACAAACATTCAATTCTGAATCAAATATTACATTGGGCCCTTCGCTAACATTATTTAATTCCCATTACAATCGTATCAAGGATTATTCCTTAACCAGCAGAGAAATTAAGATTCAGATAATAAGCAACTTGTGCAATACAAGGTCACACAGGAAGCAAGTGGCAGAGCCAAGAATCAATCATAGATTGGTCCAACCCCCAAAGTCCATGCTTGAACCCCTATGCTCTACTTCCTCTACAGCAGAGGCTTTCTTTGTAGAGGAACCAGTCACTATTAAAGTACAGCTTATTTCCATTTCTATTTTTCTGGTCTGGATTATAAATTCTTTCTCAGGAGAGCCCATGTTTCTTATATAACTTTGCTCTCCCTTCCTATTAGAGTAACAGTATCAACAAACTGTTGCTAAATGAAAAGGGAATATTTAATTCATCATCACTGTGCCTAACAGGGCCAGGATGCATTATTCTAACTGGGCCTCATCTGGAAAAACCACCAAAAATGTAAAAGCAAGTTTAAAATGGGTACCATAAACCTTTTAGTGACCAGTTTTGTGGTGTAATTGTAGAATGAATGAGCTATATATGAATCTAGCTGAGCTACAAACAGAAAAGAGAACTGTGGTTACAATATGATATGATTATTTCAGAAACAAAGCTTTCTTTTGAGTCAATTTATAAAGACAAATATTCAACAAGTAACACTCTGTATTCCAATCCTGGTACTATTTTCTCCCCACTATACGTAGAAAAACTAACTATATAAATCTCGAATTAGAACAATAACTTTTTCTGGTCTACTGCTTTTGAAAAAAGATTATGAGACAAAACACAAGGAAAGACAAACATCATAAAATAACTTTTATGCAGGATTAGTAGATCTGTTTACATATAAAAACAGAAAGGACCTCATTACAGTTAAGAGTTCACATAAATTACACAGATTGACTTTTTAAAACTACTATTCATTTTCATTTAAAGTTCCTTTTAAAAGTTTTATTTTAAAGGCACAGTGCATGAAATAAACCAAAGACTGAAGCACTTAAAATGAATGGGTATTGGACACCTCATATAAATAGCTACAGATTGTTCTGAAGCTGGGGAGTATCGTTCTGAAAAACTGGAGAGGTGAAAAGTTGCTTTTTAATCTGAGCATAAAAATATACCATTATGTCATACCTCCAGAAAATCTGCAGCATGGCCAGCACAGAATGTAGCTAGTACACTCACGTTATGCCATTTATAAAAATTATAATCATACATATTTACATAATTTATATCCAATTGCCTCAAAATGGTAACCTACTTTAAAATTTCATAATGTATTCTGTCAAATCAAAATCAGCCATGACAATATTCTGAAAGTCAGGTGGAATCATTAATGAATTATTGCTAAAAATAGGAGAAATGAGTGTTGGGAAAGATTTCCTCGTGAACTAGAAATCCAAGTTCAGTTGACATTAATCAAGGACCTTAATCGTCCCCCCAAAAATCTGCCTTAATTAAAACAAATCAGATACCCAAAGAGTTATCAAAAACTTGGTAGATAAACCACTGAACATCAACCATAGTGGAATTTTTAGTAATAACAATAAAGCAAAAATATAGGATAAATGCTGGGTTGCTACTGATAAAGCAATTCCACCAGAGAACCATTACATAGGGCACTATTACAGCATTCAAAGCCAAAAAGCTTCTAATACAGCAGAGACAAAACTGCATACATGCATTTCTGGCAACAAGAAGATAAAATTAATGCTGAGAATAAATGAAAATGGAAGAGCAGGTTATGGTTACTGAGTAACCTGGTGTTAGCTCAGAAACACAATAAGCTCAGACATAAGCACTACCTTTTATTTATTTGTCAACTTATCATTAGTTTTAAGTTCAATATTCATTAATTCAGCAAATCCCATTCAGGTGAAAGTTACCAAAGATTAACCAATCAATCACACTGGGCCAAATATACATATGTTTCCTTTCTGGAAGATGACCAAGTTACAAAGCAAATTCCCTTCAATGAGAATCGTAAGCATTCCTCAACTGGATGGGATCCCACTCACTGCCCGAGTGTTCTGAAAAATACATCAAAACCAAAGGGTCTTTCCTTCTAAAATTACTTGGCCTCATCTTACTGAGCTACATAACAGTACAAGTACATTTACACAGGCAGACACTTTGAACATTACCTACTCAATCACTTCGCTTTTATTAAGGAGCTGGTAGGGAAAAAGGCTTACAAACTGGTCACCAGGACAAAAACCAGGTCTTGTGAGTAAAGAAAGGCACAACTCAGATTTGGGCAAATTTCTTAATACTGTGATACTTGCCTCCATGACTCCAAGGAAATGGAAAAGTCTCTAGGAGAAACACTGAAGAAATGCATTCCCCATCCCGTATGGCTTCAATGCCTTAAGCAGTTAATGTGGTCTAATATTAGATTAGATCCACAAATTAAAGACAGAGCAGGGCTGAGAAAACAGTCTTAGTAGTCATGGGTCCTATACATTCACGTTCATAGGTAACGCGGGCTGAGAAGGCCTTGTTTTCCAGCTAAATGCATTATTTAGAAATTCATTAAAGACTCAAGATTTATATAAGAATTTGGTTTTCCTTTCAGGAAAAATTACTAAAAGAACTATTTGTATGTTCATTTCTAAAAAAGTTTTACACATGCTTAAAAGTCATGACCTCCAGCCACTGAGATGTACAGTTAAGGACATGTTTAATTCAAGAGAGAAGTACATGTAAAAGATATCCTCTAGTGAATACCTATATTAATAAAGCAAAGGCTATCACATCAACTTTGTTTCATTTCTAGCTGCAGTGTCCCAAGGAGGGCCAGTCACTCGCAGGCCCCTTGTTGGTTTTCTCTTGTTACACTCTTCAAAATAAAGCTGAAAAAGAGCAATACACCCTTAAGAAAACATAAAGGATTATTAGAAGAAATTAAAGCATGTATATTTTATCAACTATTAGCATCCCATAAGCTCTGTTTGGCGTATATGGTGGGATGAGAATGAGGTGGCAGAATTCAGAGTTGCTAATACCAGGATTAATACCAGAATGGCTTAACCTTGTACCACCAAAATTTATCACACTTACTAACAACAATGAGGTCATGACCTCATTATTCCTGCTAAATGAAATCTCTTTTTATAAAGCCACTTTGGATGCATTCCTCACAAAACCTGGTTGAATGACCTAGTTGAGTGGTAAACCACTCCACACAAGGCTTTGGGATAATTGATACATTAACGGATATAGAATACAATTTGAAAAGATGATCCCCTGATTTAGTACAAATTCAGCAGCAACTTGGCCATTAAAACATTCAAAGGTATTAAACCATTAGATCATTGGTAAGACTCATACTTACAAAAAGCATAATTTCCATTGACTAGCATGATAAGACAGAAACAATAAAATGCAAATCTTTCAGGTCTTTGCCTGACTGGCAGTGAAGATGACACTTTCACACCATAGTGTTATATCACATGGCAGTCTATAGTTTCCATTTTTTTAAAGGAGCCATATTTAAAAGTTTTCAATTAAACTTCTAACACAATTGGTTGATAAAAAAGAGACTGTCAAAAGAAACATTAGGACAAAGAACCCAATCACTTGCAGAGGCCTATGTGAACAAGACTGGCCGAGCTATTTCAATAACAGTATGCTATTACAGGGCGTAGACTTGGGCTGGAGCATGAAGCGTAGATATTTTGTATTCAAATGTAGGTTAAGAATGTGCAAGTAGGTCTCTTCCACATTTCCAGATATTTTCAGTAGAATTCAGATCTTATGGATGGCTGGGTCATCTGAAAACCATAAGTGTACAATGTAGAAAAAGGCTCAAATTTAGGAAATATTAAAGAAATAGGCATTCCTAGAATAAACTAGTGCTTCACAGATAAAAGTAGCAGCACCTGTGGGTTTTTACAAAGTGAAAAGACAGGCAACATGAGTTTCAGCTTTTGCTAGATCTCCCTCTCAGCTCCATTCAAGTGCACATTTAGGTCTTTCACAACAAAGTTACTGAGTTTTCCCTTAAAATGGGGATATTTAGAACTTTGCTAAACCTTACAAGAGAGGTAGTGAAATCCTGCTTAGAGCACAGCCCAACAGTTCTGATCTAGCTTTGGAACAGGTAGAAAGCCAAATACGGAAGCACTTTTATTCATTTCCCAATGTTATACATGTTTAAAACTCAATTCAACCTCCATTAAACCTGAATAAGAGAAACTCCAGCTATTTAATAACTAGAGAAAAGTACTCCTCAGTAGATTGAGAAAACCTCGAGTTTTTAAAGCTTTATGTCAGATTCTGACTGCTGTCCCTGCCTTAATGTTTCTGGATTCTTTTGGCCATTTAAAATAAAGAAAAAAAAGCTAGAGCCACTAGTAAACACCTGATGTGCAAAATACAACATTCACTAGTTGGCTTGACGCTGTTATTACATAAGCTCTAAATAGCTCATCTTAAATAAAAAGAAAAACAAAGTGCCTGTCCCATCTCTGCTGCATAAACAGAAATCAGATTTTTTTAAAGGTTAAGAGTACTTTACGGAAGGGAAGTTCCAAACTGCCAGTGAAATTCACAGAGAATACAAATTTAGCAAGTTAACTTCCCAAAGCTCTTTGAAGAAGCAAGAGTCTCTCTTCTTAATGCAGAGTCTCCCAAGAGGAACTGTAATTTTGCTTGGTACTTATGCTGGGAGATACGCAAAGTGTGTTTTTCAATGTTTGCTAGAATATAATGTTTCCTCTTCAGTGTCTGTTTCATCCTGGAACTCATGGCTTAGGAGGGACTTCTTGGAGCCTGTTGACATCATGCGAATTTCATCTTCATACTCATCATGATGCTGCCTGAGCCGATGAAAACCATCCTTGTGTCTGTTAGACTTGATCGAGCAGATGCACCAAATAATGCAAGCTGTTAGGATCAATGCTGACATAGTGGCACCTGCCAAACAAAAAACATCACATGAGGGTGTTATATTTTAAGGGTATGAATAATCAGCTACTTACAACGGCACTTTTAATAATCTGCCCCTCGATTATTTTATTTTTACTTCATGCTCTTAAGAGCAATTTTTTACTACTATAGAAGCAGTACACGTACAGAATTTAGAAAATACAGATAAGCAAAAATAACTAAAACCAAAATAAAAACCCCCCACATCTTTATATTTACATTACCCAGTGATTGTTTTTAATTACTTCAGGGCATATTTTTCCAGATCTTTATGCATGTGTATTAATGTATTTTTTTCTTTTACCATGATGAAATTACACTATCTGTTGTTCTGCAACCTGCTTTTTTTTTTTTTTTTTTTTTTTTTTTTTTTTTTTGATAAGGGGATCACAACCCTTGG